CTACGAGCAAGGACCCCATAACTTAGGGCTCCTGGCAGAATGAAGGAATTGGTCCAACTTCTCCCCGCCCAAAAAGTAAACGCCCAACTCCGAGACCCGGAAAGTCGCCCGGCCGCGGGTTGCGGCGCCGCGGCCGGAGAGGCGGCGCCTCCAACTTCGAGGCGCTGGTCTGTGGCCTGGCGCAGCGCCTGCGAAGGCATTGGGTGCTGGCCGGGCCCACGGATCGCGATCCGTGCGGTTCGGACTGAGGACCTGGGTTTGGTCCTCCGACTAAGGACGTGACCAAGCACTTGTTGCCCTTTGAAAGCTGGCCCAAAAAGGGCTTCGGGTTTCCAATTTTCTGCTGACACGATTTTTTGTCCAACAATGGGGGAGGGCATGGGGGACTGACTTACTTGCTCGCCAACTTACATCATAGTTGTGCACATCCACCGAGCTGTTTTGCTCCGTGATTGCCCTCCGCCCTGTTCACATCCACTGTCCTACCCTGATAGTGTACTGGTGGAACGTGGGGCCCAACGTGTGCCACAGCATGGGTTTATTGCCTTTCCAACGGGAGCCTCTCCCTCGTCAGGGATTCACACGCCCATCGCTGCTTGCCCGCCCATGTCAAACAATTCCTCCCCCTTAGAACATGTGAGCCATCCTAAGCTGATAGTTGTAGTGCTTGCCCTGTGCACAGTCTGTGCTTCTGATGGCCTTCTCTGTCAGCTGTGCTTGCTTTGCTGCATGAGTGGGCCGGTCACCCTCAAAACAGGGGGCCCCTTCCAGTTGATGGCCCCAATTTCAAAATTAAGCTCGTGGCCCAAAATGATCTGTGTCTCCTCGGCATTTTGCTTGATACGGCGGACCAAATAATCAACTACAGGGTGTTGGAACACTTGGGTGCAGGCCAAAGTTTTCCTTCAATGCCCGCCTCATGAGCCTGTCGATGTAAGCCGTGTGGACTTACACTTAGTGCAGCTTGTGCTCCCACATGCATGTTCATTTCTGCAGTTGATGCTGCGGCCAACTGTGAACCAGGATAATTGCTGATACAAATTTGGGCGGGGCCACATGCCGGACTGTGCCCCTGCTGAGATTGACTTGATGAGGATCCCGAAGAGGATCTTCCCTCGACAGCTGTGCACGGGCAGAGATACCGCCCGTGTGCCAAATAGTCAAAGAGGTTCCTTCACTAGTTAAGGTTAGGCTCGAAGTGTGTGTGTGTGTGTGTGTGTGTGTGTGTGTGTGTGTGTGTGTGTGTCTGTGTGTGTGTCTGTGTCTGTGTGTGTGTGACAATAGGGGGGAAACCAAAACAAGAACACAGACACAAAATGGGTCTGTCCCCCAACAGCTTTTTGGGTCTCTGCCTAGATTGGCGTGGTTTGGAGGAGGTCCGGGGCTGGGATACCAGCATTGCTTGTTTCCTTTGCCCTTTTGGAGAGTTTCCCCTGAAAAATACTTCGACCGGTCGTCGAGTGGAACACCAGCACTTCCGCTTTTCTCATTTGAGCCGCCGGTTTTCGGACTCCCCCACGCGAGACTTGGACGTCGTGGGCCGAGGTCACCAAGGACTACCGCGCCGCGCTGGGCAAGGCAGCGCCAGGCCAAGGCTGGGCGATGTTCGTTGGCTGAAGGCTCGCCAAACTGTGTGGTGTTTTTTTTTTGTTGAGGGTAGCCGTTTTGGGGATGGTTTTAAAGGAAAATTACGGGGGAGCACCCTAGTTTGGGGGTTCCCCTATCCGCGGACCTAAAGAGCGTCCCAAGGGTTATGCCGGTTACGGATAGATCTTTCTTTCTTAGTCTTGTTTTTGGCCGGGGGGAGGGTCCCTGAAGTTTTGGGCCGGCTCTTTTCCCTTAAGCCTACAAAAGGATAGACCTTTTTTTTGGCAGGGGGGCAGAGCAACCCAGTCAGGACCTAGATGAAGGTAAGAGGGGTACCATGAGGGTATGTGTCAACAAGGGGGGGACCCCTAAAATTGGAGGCTTCCTTTTGGTTTCCCCACAAGCGTGACCCCTCAGCGAAACACTGAACCACAAACAAGTGCCGCAAAAGCCGCCTGATTGATTCTGTAGATCCTTTTGAGTTACAAGGCCTTTGCCTCACATGGCGACACCTGTCAAGGGCCCTGTCAGCGTGCAGAGTTGCGGCCCAAGTTATTGAGCAGCAACTAAAAGCTTGCCCCGGCTGTCTTGCTGGTTCTCATGAGGGAATGCCCCCTATTGACCATCCGCTTGTGGTTTTCCTTAAGAGGATCCCCAGGTTCATTCTCACAACCCCTCTTGCTTGCCTTCTGAGAACCACTTTGGGTCCTTGAATCTGCTGAATCATCCACAAGCTGCCGCAATGCTTCGCCACGCGGGGTGCACAAGAGCTTCTTTGTCACCAGAAAGGCGAATGTCACATCTCTCTGCGCCACAACGGCGACCTCAACCGTCTGTGCCTGGCGGGTGTGCTGGCCTTCTGCGGCCAGTTCTTTGAGGAGCCGGTGACATTCGCAGCTGTATCGCTGGGGGCAAGGGCACTTGTTGGGATGGGCACCACCTGCTTGAAGGGGGCAGCTGACTGCAGCGAAGTACAAGGGGCAGCTGACTGCGCAATCCGGGCAGGAGATCCCTTGACATGACCAGGAAGGTTCCCACCCTTGTATGTAATCGTTGTGGCCCATTCACCTGGGATCTACTGGGCCTCTTCTTCTTTGCTTTGCTGGCCTTTTGGAGCCCCCTGTGGGGAGCCACTGGATTTTTATTCTTTGATGGCTCGCTTCTCCAGTTGCTTGTCTATTGGTAGACCGTTTTCGCAGACCTCCAGTGGTGCCTTTTTCTACACCTTTTTCTACATTTCTTTTCTCCGTCTTTTTTTTTTTCGTGGGGGGGGGGGGGCGGGGGTCTCTTTAATGTAAAATCAATTTCCGAAAGAAGAGTGCCAGCGGCTGTTTCTGTGCAAAAGTTCAGACTCTTTTGGGCTAATCCACTCAGCCAGTGTCCGGTTTCGCCTTTCGCCTTTCGCCTGCCAGGCCTCGAGCGGCTCTTCGCCAACGTAGTGACCCACGGGGTCTCCTTCTCCCCCGACGGCTCCCTGCAGGAGGCGCGCCCGCCACGAACGATTCGTGGCGTGTGGTAAAACAGCCGGTGGGCGGTTTCTTTTGAGGGACCCCCAGTTTGAGGCAATAAAGCTATGTCGTTGAGTCTTTGTTCAGGGTGCCTCTTTCTTTCTTTTTCCTTTCGGGAAAGGAACACCTTTTGGGGGTCCCCCAAAAAAGACACGCATTGAAGTTCTCTAGGTGTCAACTACCAACTTCTGGGTAGGCCTATTGGTTTTCCAGATTCAATGCGTTTCGTCGGTTTTGGGTAGCCCGCCATCAGTTTGGAGTAGTGCAAAGAAATTCCAGACTCTTCCGAATGTCCACCCAGAAGGGCTCTCCGCATTGCCAGACTTGACTGATCTCTTGTTCCCTGTGCCCTTTTGCAAACCAGAGGAAAGTCAACGTTTGCGATGGGCTGTAAGTCTGGCCATGTCTGGCCCAGAGCAACAATGGATCCTTTCTCACTTAAAGAGGTGAGCATGAATCACAATGTGCCCCTTTTTGGGCCGGTGTCCCACGAAAAATTAATTGGCGGCCTTGAATCACAGCTGAGGGAGTGCTCGGCCCCCTAGAAGGTCCGGCTGAGCGTCCGACCCAGAAAAGGACGCCTGGAGGTCTCGCTGGCACGAAAAGCTGGACCAACCCAGAAGAGACGGTTGGTTGCCATCATGTTGTGGTCAAAAGGTCTTTCCAGGTTGGTGAACAAGGGGGTGTCCATTCCAACAAGCCGGGTGCACAATGAGTATTGACCATGTTGCATATTGGGTTTGTTTGAAGCTGCGAGAGCCCACACAAACCGGGTGGTTTGCGTTTGGTTGCCGAAAAGTGTAAAAGAGCACAGGCTTTTCTGGGTCGTTCAACATGTGGATCCCTAATCCGCAATGCAGAACTGAATTTGGCCCCAAAATCGGTACCACCCGAAGAATAGTGGTACCCATCAACCACAAGACATACACCACTGCCCCGAGTTTGTGTCAAAATCCCTCCTGAGATTGGTTTTGGTTTTCTATTGATTGATCGATTTGCCAGAAGACTTTGCAGCAGTTGCGTTGCTAGCATCTGCAGATGCCCATCCTTGATTGGCAGAACCGCCCTCCGCCAAAGATGAATTGGCAATCATCTTACTGGGAGAGACACTGAAGACGCGTCCGCAAGTGCGGGCGCGAGTCCTCCTGCGAGGAACCATGTCTCAGCTAGGCGGCCTAGGTGCCAAACCTGTGAAGCTAGGCCTCACTAGAACCAAGACCCGGGTTTCTGATTCCACCGCCTGTAGAAGTTGCTTGTTTGCACATTCAGATGAATGCGGGGCGCAACAGAACATTGGGCTACGAAACTGTGCCACATTTGGTGTGTGTGCTTTTGATTTGCATTGCGAAGAGAGCGTTGGGTTCAGACGGCCGACATCAGACCACGCAGCTGAGGTCGGAGCTGCCGAGTTCTTTACATCTAAGCACCCTTTGTCACCGTGCATCGGCTGAACACGATTTGACATGGAACCCTCGCCTGAACATGGGCCAAGATAATTGGGTGTGTCTCTGGAATAATGTACACCAAAATAGCAACCACCCAAAAAGGGTCCCTATGACAGGCCATGCATGTTAGTTCTCTTGGCTTTGAGGAGAAAGCAGAAAGCAGATCAGGTTCTGTTCAGCTTTTTCATGGCTGAACACCGCCAGTTTCTTTTGCTAAAGATACAGGATACCGCTAGTTTTCCAGGGCAGCCCGACCTGGGCCAAGCTACCTGGACGGCTTCAGGCCTGCGCCGCCATGCGCCGCGCCATCGACGCGGTGTCTCTGGGCGCCTCGCTCAGCATGAGTCACCGCACGCGGATGGGTCGGGGGGGAGGGGGGGGTGGAGGCGTTGGTTGGACTGGGTGCTGGGTTAGCTGAAAGCTTGGAGTTTGTTCGCTGCTGGTAATCAATTGTGTTCTCGGTAGGTTGTTTTCTTGTTTCTTGATTTCCCAATAGGTTCCCACGAAAGATGGAATCAACCAAGAACGAACGGGTCGCTGGGAAACTGGTCATTTGCGCAAGCGTCTTTGCGACAAACGAAGCGGGACCCTTGGCCGTCAGAACCAACATACAACGCAAGTTGGGACATGTCGCAGCCCCCAGAAAAAGTGAGGGAGCTTTGCGGAGTTTCTTCTTTCTGGGTTCTGTACATGTTACTAGAGGCTGCAAAGACCGCATGGGCGTTTTGCTTGGGGTGGTTGAAAAAAGACATCCAAGGAAAGCTACCCATATGGGCCTTCCTATTCAAACGCACATACGTCTCTGATGTCCCTGCGGGCAGACATTTCCCGTAAAGGACATCATGAGAGATGTGTTAGTTTTTCCAGACCTTTTCTTCAGCACCTGGTTTTGACAGTGCCCTTTTCACCTTGGTGTCAAGGGGAAGCCTGCAGAAAAATCGCGACTATTTTGAAACATACCCATCTGCAGACAATCTCAATTCCAACGCGGCCGGTGAACAAGCAGCACGCGCCCAGGCTACGTCCGGTGGCACAGTGAGCAGGTGCCCCGATCAATCGATGAAGCGTTTGATTGTTTTGAAATGTGATTCAGAGCAAATTTCTCATTCCTCACAACCCTGCCCCTCAATCATAGCTGGGGTCTTCTATGTATATATATATATATATTGTATATATATATATACAGTATATATATATATACACATTGTATATATATATATACATACATTGTATAGCACATACATATATATATATATGTATATATTCATTACGTATATATATATATACACATACAGATGTATATGCTATATTTCAGGGCCGGGTAGACTAGATAGGACGCCGAAACTGAACATCAAGATAGCAGACAAATGACCTTGGAACACATGCTTTCTGATTCGCCTGCGCAAACCCCTGGCTGCGTGTCAACAAGTAGCAGTACTGTGACGACAGGCGACATCCATTTCGCACTACTTGGGATGGATGCAGTGCTTACTGGGATAAACGGCTTACCAACTGGTGCGAAGTGGATTTGTCCATCCAGAGTAGTGAAGGGAGCTTGTCCTTACTGGCCTCCAATAGTCGCTAATAGTCGTTGGCTGCCGTTCAATCAGTATACAATGTGGGCAGTGATCAATTTTCGGAGGTGAATTCCGACAGCCGAGCTTCCACATTTGCTGAGACCTTGAGACACAGGTGTTGAGCCAGAAAGAAAAGGCGGCGGCATCCCGGTTGCTGGGGGCTACATAGCCTATGACGTTGATAGTTTTTTGAAACCGATATCAAAAGGGGATTTGAATATTTCAGATCAGGCTGGCACGTCTTCATGATGACCTTTCAGGACATCCTCGACCTCCCAAAGAGGTAGGGGTTGTTCGCCCAAACAAAGCCTGAAGAGATGCAAAGGGATCCACGGGGCTCCACAGGTCGGGGAGAGGGATCCGATCCAGGACCACGCCCAGGGCCTGCCGAACATCTTCGGGGCTTTGTGCGTGAACACCTGGGGCCAGGCCTTGAGCAGCCTCGACTTCGTGCAGGCCGGCAAGTGGAGCCTCCGTGGGTGGCTTTTTTTGTTTTGTTTTTGTTTTTGCCACCTGGAGCCTCCATGACTCATGACCAATCCGCGCCAATGAAGCAAAAGAAGCAAGTTTAGCATAGCCTTCCCAGTATTTGCCAACATGGCGAAAGGGTTACTTACGCCAACTAGGCTAAGCAGCATAGCCATTGCCAGAGGCAGTTTACCCTTTTGACGTTTGCCTTTCTTGTGCCCTGCATGTCCCTCCCGCTTTCCGCCGGCAAACAGTTCAGTTTTCCAGCTGGTGGTTGGAAGGGAGCCAACCAGCATCCAAATTTGCCTTCAAAGAGGGAGCTAGCGAGCTTTTGCCAGGAGTCGGGTAAGGACATGTTTGTCAAGCAGCAAACAATTCACTTTTTGAACCCTACTAGCTGCTGGTTGCGACAGAGCCACAAGATTGTGGGGAAACAATTACCTTTTCTTGCCTGGACCTCACTTCACACCTGGACATCGCTGGACCGCGCAAGACCGCGAGGCCTATGCCATCGGCATGAGGAGCGTGGACGAGCGTGTGCGGAGCCCAAGGTCGGAGACTCGTTGCGTCTATCTCTGGCGTCACTTGGGTTTGGACCGTGGCAAAAAACATAAAATCAGGACATTGTCTGAGGAAGGGAGCTATTTAAGGAGGCAAAGGGCTTCAAAGAATATGTGCTTTGCTGCTACTTAGGTGGTTGGTACCTCCGAGCAAATAACGGGGACTGAAGGGGTTAACCAGGCTTAGCCTACCGCGAGTAAGGGTTGCTTGGATGCATTTCTGGCCTTTGGTGTATCCAACTTTTCACGTGGTGTTGCAAAAAAGGGCGGGACTTCCCATGGGATTTGCGTGCTTAGATCAACAGGGGTCCCTACATCCCAATTCTCTGCTTCACAGATCACCTGTTTGCGAGCTCAAAACCGGCGCCTTGTTTGAGGTTGAAAACCGTTCAATGCAGATCTTCCAATGGAGGCCCAACGACTCGCAGGATTGCTAATTTAGTTTCTCCTCAAACCATATCTCCCACTTCGTCAGTCAGGTTTCAGCCCTTGTTTCTGTTTTCCGCATGGTTCACCCCAGAAACAAGAGCACCCTCGCTTCCCCAAAGCCCACCTTTGGACGTTTTGATCGCCCAGGTTTGATCGATGTAGGGAAGGAGCCAACCCTTCGCGTCTTGGAAGACCAAAGCAGGCGTGCCATATTGCTTCCACCCGGAGAAGTAGGGGTTAACCACCGGATCCCCATTCTCCAATCATTTGTTCCAGAAGGGGAGGCTCGTATTTATCTTATGATTCTTGCATTGGTTGCAGCTTGATTTGGTCTTCCGGGAGGTGAAAGGACTCACACTTGGTGGGTTTCACGAAAGCAAGTGGAAAGGCAGAAAGTGCTAACAAGGGGTCCACAGTGTCTAACAGCTTGTTTTAGACCACCTTGGAAAAATGCTTGGCTGTAAGCCGAAAGGTTTCCACTTAGAGGTCTGCCAACCTTGTCCGAAAGCAGGTGTTACAAGGGCTATCGTCTCATGGTTAACCCATTTCCGCCCATCGCTTCGCGAGGCGGCACGCATGTGTTTCCCGTTGGACGCCGCCTACATGCAGGCCAGGAGGTTCTAGTGCGAGGACTGGAAATCAGGCTTGCTACTACTCCCTTCACTGTTCTCGGCATGTGTTTTGATTTGCTTTCGTTTTGTGTGTATTTTTGGTTCTGCTCATGTTTAGCAGGGGGGGAGGCTGCAGAAAACCACATTGTTTTGCTGATTCACGTGGCCCCCCAACAGGCCACCCAAGGGATCACCCCTAATGAGTGTCTTTGGGTGTGCAATATGAGCAGCCCGAAGGCTCGGTGTAAGCGGTAAGTCCTTACATATGCAACCGCAAGTGCCAATAAATTCTTCAAACGATATTATATCGGCCAACCCAGATATCATGCCCGCGAGAGGAACCGAACCCTTTTGACCCGGAAGTTGAGGCGTCGCCGTTGCCGGACAAACCAAGGCAACACCTCAAAGTCAAAATCTCTCACCTGAGGCTCCAGATAAATGGCAAGAGCCTTGAAGGCGCCATGCCTGCACTGGTGAGTGCCTTTTTTGGTATATATATTCCGAAGCTATTCTGCATTGTAGGGCAGACTAAATATCAAGCAGAATCAGAAAGTATTATTTTGCAGGGCCCAGATGTGGGCCAAGTTTGTTGCTTTTCTTCAGAGGGGAGTACCGTTAGTCACAGGAGCTTAGCACAGCCTTTTTTTGGGGCGTACAACCACTCAAGGCTGTCCTGGTGGTTCGACATTTAGGAAGTGAACAAAGAGACCCTAGGGCCCGACAGGACGGGGAGCGGATCTCAAAGAAATGGCCGTGGGTCAAAACCAATGGTACCAGTTTGGGTCACCCATTTTAGTCTATTTTAGTGGGGATTGGGATGTTCACTGAGGGTACGGCCTTTTGACCCATGGCCAAATCTCGAGGATCTGCCAAACATAAGTCGGTATGTGTCAACATACATGTCCATTTGTTGGGGGCTGCGAAAGATCAAAGACCCAAAGTCAGGGGTTTTGCGAAGCCTGGTGCTCAAGGAATCCGAAGTGCCCAACGTCCGCCGGTTCTGCTCGTGGACTCTTTTGGCCTTTCAACCAACTGGAACCACCTGGACCCCCACTGGTCCTTCTTTCTGTTCTGCCTTCTAACCCCTCTTTGGGTCAGAGGCAGAACAACAAACTGGGGGGTCCAGGCACCATGATAGCTTTCTCCGGCCAGGTCTTGCCACAGCCCTCGGGGATGCAGAGGACGGCGGGTTGCTCCCCGTGCGAGAATCCCAAAGTGAAGGATTACCCTCCCACCAACTAACATGGGGTCCTAGAAGATAACTTTCCTTTTAAAGGGACCCCTGTCAGGTTCCATGTTACTTGGTGGGAGGACACCAACATCATTGTTCGCTTTGCTTTTGGTGGTTATAAAACCCATAAAACCCAGTGCGTCTTTTTCTTTTCTAAAGACACACCCCTCTAAAACGGGCACCCCCCAATCAAAATCAACCAGGGTAATCCTGGGTCAACATTATATCAAAGTTCTGTTCGTTTGGTCTCAGAGTCAACACAACCAGTTGGCACCCCCGCCATTAATTTCCCATGAATCATGGACCGCTTTTTCTGATTTCTGTGTAGGAAGTGAGAGCTTTTTGATGGATGCAAAATGAGTCGGTTGCCGGTCTTGGGAAATGGGGCCCAGGATTGACAAACCCACCCCTATCTGGTGGTTATACGACTGTAGCCCCAGTCTTCCTTAGAGTCTTGGAGGTGATCTAAGGCTTGATAAATCCCTTGATGAATCGTCAGGGCACCAGTTAAGCGGTTTTATAAGAGCGGCTGCGCCAAAGGGCAATCATGTGTAGCGTCCTAGAATGAGCCAAAACTGTTACCCATGTATTTTGCGAGCTCATCGATCGGGGCTAAAATGAGCTCACTCATGAAGCTTTACCTTGGGATTCCTCACATCTGGTCGTGAACGGTAGCTTGCCCTACACCCGAAACCCTAAGCACACCCCCGCCCCAAAGCAAATACGCCCAAAGAACTGACCTGATTGAGGTTTTCCTTGAACACGGTTGGCAACGCCTTGTAAGACATGCGTAATTTACCTCGCGCGACGTGAGGCATGACATGTTTGCAAGAGGGAACGGCAGAATGGCAACCCCGCCAGACTGAAGTGAACGTTTGCTCAACTTGTTTGCCTTTTTGTCCCTTTCAACCAGCAAATTGATCAGTTTGCTGGGGGGGCTATGCATCGCCGAGCTTAACTCGGGGCTCCTCCAACACAGCTTCCGTATTTTTTGGGGTAGACCAAACACGCAACTGTGCCCTAGAGTTGGGCCAACTGCCAAAAGCAGCCGATGCGCAGGATCCTCTTGACGATGCCTGTCACAGAGATTGAGGACTTCCTCAAGGAGCGGACCAGGCGACAGGTGGGCGTGTCTGTTTTTGGTGCCCGTTTTGCATGGGTTTTTCCGGGAAGCCAAAAAGACATCACCTTTTTTGGGGGGTTCCAATTCCTGTTTTGAGGCAAGCTCGGGTCGTTGCAAAACACTCGCTTCCACCATTCTGGGTACAGGCTACCGGTCTTTGAAAAACAGGAGGCAAGTGCATATCGAGAACAACCTGCTGACTTCTGTGTGTGTGTGTGTGCCCCCTGTTTCTAAGGGGTTCCTGTCGGAGTCAGCCTGCACCGGCGAACCGGCCACCTTTGTTAGTACATGTTAGTACCATGTGGTGGTGATGCAGGCTCTGACGAGTAGCTACCACATGGGAAAGCATCGGGAAGGTAAGCTGACGAAACTCCTTTTTAGGTTGCTTTTTGAAAAACTGTGATGCGCCTCACTGTCTCCCATCAAGTGTGTACCGGCACTGCTTCCGAGCCACGGTCAGCGTCGTGAACCCCACGGGGAACTCGACTTGTCTCATGTGCAGGCCTTTTCTTCAGACCTTTACCGACTGATTTTTACCCCTGGCCTTGGTGACCTTTACCACTGACCTGCTCCACTGATTTGGACCTCTACCTGACCACCCAGCACCCCAGGACCGAGTTTCACTACATACTTTGATGTTATCACCCGAACGCTATCGAGACCCCTTATTGGGTACCTCGGACCTTCCCTTTTCAGACCCGGCGCCCTGACGCAGGTCCCATGTCCGGCAGGCTGACTTAAGAAGCCCAACTGGGCCCTCCAATCCAACGACACCTTCCTGGATCAACGGGAAGCTCGGGGCCTGCAATTACAGAGGTACATCCAGCCCAGCCTCTGGTCGCGCCGAGCTGGCCCCCGCTTGTTCGCCTTCTCTGCCAAGGAGCTCAGATCATTGTCCAACGGACGCTACCAGACGCCCGTGATGGCACGCTCCATGGCTGAGGCGCTTCTGTTGGCCTGGCAAACCACCTGACAAACGCACGGAGGCCATGCTGTTCATGGAGCCGCTGGCCATTCGGATTGTGGATCTCATGGAGTCCTTGCAGCCGTCAAAGCAGGAGAACATCAGTCGAAAGGTACAAGAGCAAGGGTGTAGAGCTCACTCCGGAGAAGCAGCCGCACTCTGAAGAGGAAGTCGACCAAGCGCAAGACTCCGGACACCAACATTGAGCTCTGCATTGACCCTGAGCTCCTTCAGCAAGGCAACCCCAAAGGTCATGCCAACCAGGGTTGAGGAGCGCACTCTCGCGGCAAACATCAGCTCAAGGCCATTGCAAGGGCGTCGCTGCAGTTCATCACGGTGCTATACATGTACGGCAAAGATAACACAAGATCCAGTGCTTGACCTCCATGGCGACCTCCTCGTTGCGGCTCGTACGGAAAAACTGGAGACAGTGGCCCTTGCGAGCTGACGCGGCTTCCTTGCAGCACGGCCCCCTATTTTTGTTTTTTTCTCGTTTTTTTCCGGTTGCTTCTAGTTCATCGACAGGCCGAGAAACAAAAAACGGTGCTAACGGCGTTTCCAACAAGGCGCTTCCCAAAAAACTAAGCCTTGCTTGTCGTGCCTGTTTGGATAGTGTCCCGATCATGCGAGTTGTTTCCACCTCGAAGACCCGACCTCCTCAGTCTCTTTCACCAGCTCGACCGGGACCTGCCAGCTCCTCATCCAAGCTCCAAAGCATTACGACATCCCAGAACCCTCCAGCACTGTCCTTCCTCTACCACTCCACCACAATGTCATCACGTCGGGAAGCACTTCGTACGCCCATGATCAACAAGCAGTTATCTATGTGTCCTTGGCGACCCTGCTGATGATCAACCACTACGGCAACTTCACTCGCTCGCTTGCGGACCTGAAGTGCCACCTTCGCAGATTCCAAGTCACTCCCGGCACTTTCACCTTCAATCGGTTTCAACAGCCCAATGCGGTGTACTGAAAGCAGCGGCTGGTCCTCCAAGCCACCCAGCCGCGATCAGTCCACCCTCTCCCGGACGTCTATATTGGAAGCACCGGCAGCACCTATTCGTCAATGCAGAACCCGCTCTTCGCTGGTGGCATCATTTTGACAACTACAACGAGTTCACGACTTGGGTAATTTTCACATCACCCGACCATGAGACTACCTATATACTCCAAGTACAAACGAGTCTCAACAGGATACACAGCTACCAAGTTCCTGTCCGATCAGCCATGGTCTGGGTTTGGCAGAAGACTATTTCTGGCAACTACGCAGCGGCAAGCATTCAGACCTTGACATATATGCGCTACACCGCCTTCTGGCAATGTGTTCGCACGTTTTACGTTCAGACGCCTTTTCAAGCGCGTTTTTACGTTCAGACGACTAGTTCAATCGCCTTCTACGCCTTCCGTGGCTTTCTCACCCAGACTACCAAGTCCCCAGCAAGAAGCTCGCTGAAACGCCGCACCCCAAGGTGCACTCAGTCCTGTAGAATTATGACAGGTTCCAGGACACCTATCACCTCACCGACGCCGGGACGGACAAGTGCGCGCGCGCCTCATGGCTAGTTGAGCCTTGTAGAAAGAAAGCGCGAATATTTTTGTCCAGGGAGGCTCTGCTTTTTTAAAACCCGCCAGCACTACCTTCTTGGTGGGGTTGTTTCGTGGCCACTTTCAGACTTTGTAGTTTAGGAGCTCATGTTTTCGTTGGATTCCAAAAGAGATCACACAGGGCAAGCTGCAAGGGGCCCGCACAGCAATGAGTGAGGTTTGAAAAAGAGATGTGATGTACATGTTTTGGAGGGGAGAACGGATTAGGTTTTGGCCCACGTGACATACTTTTATTTCCCACACATTGTGGACCAACTTCATGTGGCGACTAAGTAGCGCCGACCAACGACACAACTTTCTTGAGGGAGATTAGTCTCCGGCGGCCAAGACCATGCAGGTTAAGTAGTCTTCCATTCGCTTCCTCTTCCTGTAGTCTTCCGTCTTCTTCCTTCTTCTTTCCTTCTTCTTTCCCGTACTTCTTTCTTCCCGTAGTCTGCCGTCCTCTCCCGTAGTCTTCCGTCCTCTTCCCGTCGGTCCTGAACCGTCGTCATCCAACACAGGTTCCACGCCAAAATTCCGGGTCGTCGTGGCAAGGCCGTGATCAGGAAGTGTTACACGCGACTTGCTGGAGGGCAGGCTAAACAATGAGGCCACGGAATCTTGGCTCGGATCCGTTTGGCTTGGTTGTTGGTGTCGCAGGAGGCTGGGTGAGACCCTGAAAAACAAGCTGCCTGGGGACGAGGCCATTGCGGCTTTCAGATGTCTGGCGGTGCCTGGATGAAGCTTGTGAGGAGGCCGACCACGCAGCGGATCTAAAGACGCAAGAATTCAACGCTTCAGAGCGCAACAGTTTGAGACGCCTCTCGCAAGCTGCAGCCTTGGATCGGAGTCGCGCGATCGTGCGTCAGTGTTGACAGGTCGGCCGGGTTCTAAGCCGGCACTGCACCGGCGGCGCGCAAGCTCGCATCTTGGCAGCTTGCTTTGGCCCCTTAGCGGCGAAAAACATTCAGCAGATGCTGAACCTGGCAGGGCTCACGTCGTCCAAGCTGGTGATAGTGGGGCCGGGGGCGCCGAGCTTTGTGGTCCCGCGAGGAGGCCGGAACCTGTGCGCAGCACATGGACTTGGTCACGGTCTGCTGACTCGCGCGAGGACGAAGCTAGTGATGTCCTACAAGACCCACGTAAAAGCTTTACGATAGCCACGGTTTCAGGAGACCGCTCGCTGAGACGGGTCCGTGGGATCCGCCACTTCTGTGAGTGTCAGAAAATGACTTGCAGCACATGGCTCTATGGCTGGTCAGACGATCAGGATGCCATAGAGGAGGATGATGAGGAAGAGTGAGAGAGAAGGTCACACTCGCGGCTGTCAGCGAAGAAGCCCCACGCAAGAACACGCAGCATCATGCCATGCCACCTAGCTAGACGCAACGAGATTTTGGTGGGCGTGAAGTTGGAACCTGCCGCAAGCGCACGTTTTCGTATGATTGCACGCGGCCACCAGACCGTATCAGGCTTGCTCCGCTTCAACATGTTGAGTGGCTTTCTCCCCAACTCGGAATTCTGGGTGGAGTTCAGAGTCGGCTACGCTACTGCAAGTCAAGATCTTCAAGAAGAAGCGCTTCCCTACCTCTTGGCGGTTTTACAGAGCCTCGCGACCTTCTACCGCGACTGAGAATCCAATGGATGGCAGGACGTCATGGAGCTACGCCGCAGATATTGCACCTTGCCCTCCTTTGGAGCCTGAGCGTCATCCGCCTGAAGAACATCATCCTGAAGATGGACATGATGCGCTCCACTCTTCATCAATGAACTCTTCATCAATGGCAGCTCCCACCGATTCACACGGCTCCCTCGTGGCATCTCGGACTCGCATGAGCATGTACCTGGCTTGTCATGACAGACCAGGCTCCAATGCGACCAGCTATCTTGCAGGTTGACAGAATACCATTGCTTCTCCTGGCGTGGTATCTGGTCAAGGGGGAAAAACGCGCCTCCATCTTGCTTTGCGATGGGATATTTTGACGTTGTTGAACTGCGCGCCTGTGCGCGGCAAGAGTCTAGTGCCCGCCAGTTGGACTCACTTGAGGACGGTCTGTAGGGTCGATATCGCTGAGGCCCAGTTGCTCAGGGCGCCAAGGAGCTGTTGCAGGTAGAGGTGAGATCTGGTCCTCACCGGGAAGAGAAAGGCGTGTCGCCGGCAGCTGCGCCATGAGGAGGAGGAGGTAGTAGTAGAGGCTGCACTGCGTAGGGCCCCAACTGTGTGCGTGCCCCCTGTTTCTTTGGGGTTCCTGTCGGAGTCAGTCTGCACCGGCGAACCGGCCCCCTTTGTTAGTACCATGTGGTGGTGATGCAGGCTCTGACGAGTAGCCACCACATGAAAAGCATCGGGAAGGTAAGCTATAGCAAAACTCCTTTTTAGGTTGCTTTTTGAAAAATGGGATGCGCCTCACGGTCTCACTGTCTTCCATCAAGTGTGTGTGTGGTTTGCGTGTGTGTGTGTTTTTTGAGTGTACATTTGGGGGATTTTGGAGTCTTTGAAGGGAAACCAACATGAATCTACCAGGGTTGGGAAAGAATGAGCCAGTGTTTGGCCCAACCCCGAAAACCGGTTGAGGCCCCCCTTTCTATTTTGGGCTGCTCAAACCGAGTTGATTTCAAGGGATTCCCTTGGTCGGTCCGGGTCCAGGGGTCGTAGAACATCAAGATCCTTTGCCCAAATGGTGGCCTGTGTGTGCGTGCGTGACTCCAAGTAAGTGTGCGTGTGTGTGTGTGTGTGTGTGCGCTTGTGCTTGTGTCGAGAGCACACTTTTAAAGACAGACTAAAAGCAACCACATGTTTTGGGGTTCCTCGCCATTTTGACGTGTAGAGGCCCTTCACGTGAGGAAACTCCCAAGGAAAGTTGGGGTGGACGGTTGTCTAGGGCAGACTGTTTGATTGTCGGAGCTCTGGTGAGTTTGTGTCTCTGTTGCAAAACCGCCTCTTCTTCCAGGCCCCAAAGGCGGGCGGGGGTGTCCCAAATGTGGAAATGAAAGGGGCACCACCCAAAGTCGTCCCTGAAGACGCCCAAGGACACCCAGGGACACCGTCGAGGACACCCCCTCAAACATCCAAAGACATTCTCCAAAGCCAATCCCCCCCCCCCCCCGAGACTCCTCATTTTTAAAGACATCGCCCAAGGCAACTGCCAACATCCTCCAAAAACAATCCACCCCCAAAGGCACAACACACCACAAGGACATCCCCCTGACAACATCTTCCCAAGACACCTCCCAGTCATCCCCGAAAACATCGCCTGAAGACATCCTTGAAAGGCACCCCCAAAGACATCCTCACAGAATCCCTCGCAGACATCCCCCAAAAGACATTCCCAAAACACCCCTAAAAAACCTGGTGCCAAGACAGCTTCCATCTGCATGCCATGCCGCGCCTGCCACGAAAATCAACACGCCCCTCCAAAGTACTTGCGCCGACCACGCTGTCTGAACGCCATGTGTCAAAGTGCTGCGCTTGCCACGAAATTCTGCACACAACCCTCCAAAGTACTGCGCCTGCCACGATGTCTGCACTCAGCCTCCAAAGTGCTGTGCTGGCCACACAATGCGAATCAAAGCATGCTCAAAGTGTGGTGCCTGGTACGAAACCCAACTCTGACACGTCTGCCACGCGTGTCCGAAATAAGCACGAGACTGGTGCCAGAATGATTTCAACCGATTTTGACAATATTTAGCTCGCCAAAACGCCGATTGTGTCACAGGGCCAACGAAAAATCACAGTCCCGGCTGCGCTTTCGGAAAGAAACAAGAAAAAGAAAAAACGCCGGTCGAAGGGAGGAAGAGACAACTCCGTCTGGTTTAGGGGCTAAGGGTTGGATTGCCGGAAATTCCAAGAGACTCTGTCCGCCGAAACTTCCTTTTGAGCTTCTACGGCGTGGTAGCCCGATGCGTTGTGATTCCCCCCCCAGAAACACTTTCCTGGGGAGAAACTGGGTAGATACCTTTTGCTTTAATTGAAACTTTGAGGGGGTATGGTTTGTGGGAAGAGATTCCACCTCTGCCATTCACTTACTGGATTGGTCGGGAAAAACATACGTCTGATTTGCCACCAAAATCATCCTCCCAAACAGTGACTACAGTCAAGGAAACAAGGGGTTCAAACCGGTTCTATTTGAGGACCCTCTTTCTCTGTGTCCTTAAAGAGGGGCCCTCAATAGAAGGGGCTGGTTGAGCGTTTGGGAACGTCTTAGCTCGTTCCGTCTCGTTTGTGCCATGCAGGACCTGCCTGCAGAGTACGAAGCGCCCCACATCAGCGAGATGCGTTGGGCAGCCAAGGCACCCAAATTCCAAGCGAGCCCCCTGCGAGTGGCACAATGCTTTGTTGTTCTCGGAAACTTTAGCCAGACCCCCCCTCCTCCCTTTGCAAGTGCTTAAGACCATTCTCTGTGGGAGGAATCCATTAGAAGGGAGGTGTCGCCTTTTAGAGGTGATTCTTCCCTTGTTTGGGAACACCAAGCTATTTTATCGGCTGGTCGATCAATCTGGCCAGAGACGGAGCTTGTGACTTATAGTTAACTTATAAGCCACTTATAACCCCCCCTATGGCTGTAAGAGGAGGGAACCCCGTTGTGGGTGGCTAGCCAGGTCAAACATCCAAGTATGAGGTTTCGCTTGGTTTAGGGATTTGAACCTTTGGTTCAATTAGAAGCTGAAGGGGCCGTCCAATTCCAGCATGAGGCACGCACGCCTTCCGTGCGCCGCTGCCCGCTTCTGCCAGGGGCCCAGCCCCCTGACAAGCTGAGTCGGTCGACTTCCTCGTAGCAACTTAGTGCGTCCATGAAAATGAATCCTGAACAAGTTCAGCTGGTTTTCGCCTTGCCAGCAATGTCAGTGAGGGGTTGGTTTGAGTGGGGGCTGCAATTGTGTTTGATTGCCCCTACAAGAGAACCCACCGACGGTCTTCTTTTGGCACAGGTGATTCTCCTGTGAAATTTTAGAGAAACATGCAGGGCATTCAACCCCTGAGTTCCTGGACTTAAGCTTAAAAATGACCACTTTACTGGCAACCAAACAACAGTTCCTCCCATTTTTGGCCAATCCACTGAGAGAGTGTGGGGAAGAACATCCTTCCGTTCTCCAATGTGTGACTTTGATTTGGCTTGAGTCTACTGAGAGACAAACATGGGTTCTTAGAATTTGGTGGACCTCAAATTCCGACCTGAATGAGGTCCTCCGAAGGGTCCTGAATTCAACTTCACACCCACATGTATGGGTTTGTCTTTTTTGGAGTTGATATCATTTTGGTTTCAAACGGACGCAAAACAGGAAACCGCTCATGCCCTCTTTTCGGCCTTGGGCTCTCCCAGGTGCTGGACCGCTTGAACCCTGCGGTGGAGACGCATCACATCGTGGCGCGTGTCGCCTGGGAGCCCGGTTTTGCGCACATAGTTCGATGATTTGTAAAGGGCATGTTCAGGTATGTCACATGTCTTTTGGAGGTAGGGAGGCGGACATGTACAGGTTGAGGTATGTGTGCTTTGGAGGTAAGGAGGCTGACATTTGCCACCAATAAGGTGTGTCACAAGGTGGTTGACATGTACCACCAATTTATAAGGTTGGTAGCCAGTAAATACTGCAAGTGCGTAAGTGGTATGTAACCTCCATAACTCAACGCCCTTGACTGGTGTACCCTTTTTCCAACGGAAGGGGACAGGATGCAATTCCAGGAATGTCTTTTAGGCGAAGTTCTGCTGCCTCGCTTTTGGCATAAGAACCATCCAGACCCATTCCTCCATTGGGTTTAGCTCAAAACATTTTTGTGGGGTTGCATCAAGAGGGGTATGGAGCTATGGAGGTTGTTTCTACCACTGACTTGTACTTGTATAAGGGGTGTATACTGCTTGTGATGGTGGCATACACAAGCATACCAGAACATGCCATTGATCCCAAGATTCTTAGGGTGTTCGTTTTTGGTTATTCTGGTCAGTTGCAAATGGGGGGGGAGGGCTGCAAAGAACGTTTGATGTCCCTTAATTTTCTCCGTTGTTTGTAGATTCGGGCTTGCACTTGAGAAGCATACCCGCCACCAGGGAGTTTGGGAGCCTTCTTTAACTTGCAACTTTTAAAACAAACCCGAGTTTTGGGCTTGAGTTCTGGTTTTATGCATGCTTTGCAAAGAATCGGAGCCTTTAGAATGCTTGTCTAAAATTAACGTTCAGGAGTACATGGCCCATTTGGTTTTGTTCTCCTGGGTCCCAAAAAAACATGAAACTCATAAGCTCCAGAAGCGTTCGGCCATTCACGCCGACCGGCCTGCCTGCTTTTACCTTCGCCCAACCGCGCTTTGGGTGTCCGGTGGCGTAAGCCTTTTTGGGTCATGAGGCATGCATGGATGCCCAGGCCTCCAGTGGAGCATTTTGGAAGCTGCTTCAGGTTCATTTCATTTCCCAAGGGAACCTCAAGTGAAAGGTTTCAATGGAGAGCACCGTCTTTTTTTCTTCTTCTTGGCAACACTTTAGGGCGGGGTTCTAGTGACTTTTGGGGGTTCCTAAGTGTCCAAAAATGGCTTCCCTTTGTCCCATGGACGGAAGGAGACGGAGACCCACCTGAGGCGTGCGTGGGCGACTCCATCACATTCTGCGGCTACCCAAAGCTCTTGCAGGTGGGGCGCTTTGCCAGGGTCCCGTTTTGACTCAATTGCTTGTTGGGGAGCACCTGGCATGTCTTTGTTTTGTTGTTTCGGTTTTGCAGAGAAGCAACAAATAGTTTCTTCTTCCGAGGGCCAGCTTTTCGGCAACGGTTCAGGCAGGTTGGGTCTTTTTTGCAGCCACCATGAACACTTTCAGACCTTCAGCACCTCAAAAGTGCTTCGACTAGGCTGGCTTCTTGGATGTTCAATCCACTTGGTAGGTTATATCCATGGCAAGGGGACGCGCCTAAGTTACCACACTTTCCATGGTTGCAGCCTAAGCTGGTTGAACTTCCAAGCAGCCCGATTTGGGCTAAAGCCCAACCGGTTTCGGCATCTAGCCCCTGACAGGCGCACTTTGACCGGGCCGGCATGAATGTCCAGGCCCGAACCGGGAAGCTCCTGGGCTATCCCCAAAGCGCAAGCAACACCTGGTTACCCAAAAACTGGTCCAGCAAAATTTTGGCGAGAGTTCACCGGTTCAGGGGTAGAAGGATCTCACGAGGTTGGTCCTTTTCTTGAAGATCCAATAGTTCAGCTGTGCGAATTGCAGATCCAGAGACCCTACAAATCAACTTTGGCCATTTTTTGCGGTGATATACGGCCTTGACGGGCAGGGAAGGCTGTGTGTGTGTGTGTGTGTGTGTGTGTGTGTCTGTGTCTGTGTCTGTGTCTGTGTCTGTGTCTGTGTCTGTGTCTGTGTCTGTGTCTGTGTCTGTGGTCGTGGTCGTGCGCGTGCGCCTGCGCCTGCGCCTGCGCCTGCGCCTGCGCCTGCGCGTGCGCGTGCGCGTGCGCGTGCGCGTGCGCGTGTGCGTGTGCGTGTGCGTGTGCGTGTGCGTGTGCGTGTGCGTGTGCGTGTGCGTGTGCGTGCGTGCGTGCGTGTGTGCGTGTGTGCGTGTGTGCGTGTGCGCGTGTGCGCGTGCGCGCGTGCGCGTGTGCGTGTGCGTGTGCGTGTGCGTGTGCGTGCGCGTGTGCGTGTGCGCGTGTGCGTGTGCGTGTTTGTCTTTGGGCACCCTTGTTTGGGATCAAAAGCGAAGCCCACCATTTGACAGGTGCCCCTGTAAGACACACCCAAAGGGGCCTGTCTTTTTTGAGGGTACTTGTTTTTGTGTGTTTAAAGAGCAACCAAAAGGATACCACATTTTTGTGGGGCCCCCTTAAACAAACAGATGTACCAAAATGTTTAGGGGGCTGTTCCAGCAGCACAAATTATGCTTTTGCCTTTTGATAGGGGCATATCCACAGGTTCGCTGCGATCAACCCTGAACATTATGCTGGAAGGTGTCAGTGACGTTTTCCTTGTCAGAGCAACCCCACTCGAGTGCAGCAGTAACCCCTGATGGTGTGAAAGAGTTTACAAGGTCATGTTAACCATAGGGGGTCGTTGTGATTTCTGTCCGAAGTGTTTGTTTCCGTGAATAATATACAAGTCAGGCTAAGGAAAAATGTTTAACCATGTGGAACCAGCCCTGGACATTCCACGGAGTGTCCGCAAACCCATCATTGATTTGGATTCATAGCCTTGTGAATACAACTAGCTCCACCCATTCCTTGCGGATTCTCTGCAGGGAATCAGGCAATGACCGAAGCTCAGGTTCATTCCCAAAACCCTTGGATCGTCCTACTGAGAGCCGCTGGCCACCAAAAGGGTTGACCACCCAACCAAATTTTAAGAGGCTACAACCATGCGTGCAACTGTACCTTAGTCCCCTTATAATTATAACCATGGGTTTTGACCGACCTAGACTCCTTTAAAGCTGGGTAGCCGCGTTTATTGTCTTCGCCATGGCTGACCACCGCAGGTCCGGAACTTCGGCCTTTGCGGCGCCACAGCGCTGCGCTTTGCAGACGTGCCGTACTGGGAGGCGGGACGCGGAAACGCTCGTTTCCGCGCAAACGAGAGCGCCTTTGGCGTGTTTGAGAGAAGGCTAGAACCTCTTCAAAGGGGGGCCTAACTTGAACCCCATACGGCCTGGGGTCTGCCCCTGTTGAGAGTTAGGCCTAATTTTCAAATTCACCAAGGAAGCACAGACCTGGGGAACAACCGACTGCAAGCTGGGAAGCATAGAAACCTTACAACAGAAAATGTCTGGTGACAAAGAAGCCCAGACGTCCAGCGTTGCGCTTTTCCGGTTGTTTTTTGCAGGGGGATTTCCCAGTAAATTCAGCCAGAAAAAGGGTGCCTTCGTTGCCCATTTCTTTTTGGGCTTCGCAGCCCAAGGAACTCGGACGCGGATTGCCTGTGGAAAAGGATGCCTGACCGTTTCGTGGAAGCTGTTTCGAAATTTCAAACAAGCCACGACCGCTTTTGAAGGTTTAGGAAAAGTCAACCTTGAACACAGGAAAGCTGACATAATCACAGACCTGCGAGAAGCTAAATGTAGGACTCTGCCCCTGACGAACAGTCAGCAAACATGTGTAGTTGTATAAAAGTATCACAGTTGTTCAGCGGCACCCTCTAACTTGGCCGGTTCCCTGCCAAGAATGGTCACAAACGGGAGAAGCCCCAGCAAGACACGCATGGAAGATGAGGCCTGCTAAACAAATGGAAGGAACACATTTGACTACGGGTTATCCGTCCTATCTTTTCCTTCCCTTATTGAATTAACCCATTGTCATCTACTTCTTCCTCCAGTGTGATTATTTTTGCTAATCAAGATATTTCTACCGGACAAATCATCAACCATGTGTCTATAGGTGGAGCCTCCAAAATTAGGATATGAGGTCAAGTAATAGCAATGGCCTGTCTTTCTCATCATTTATATCTTCTCCAATACAATACTTCTACTTTAGAAATTACTTGAAGAAGAGCAAGAGCCATCAATCTCATGTCTTAATCAAGGGTTTATGGCTCACATTCTCTCTTTACCCAGCCACCATTGGATCAACCCTCATCCAGAATACGCAATCAACTGGATTTGGCGCTAGGAAGGGAGCCATCTCTCTCACTCTTTTACTTTCCATTCTCCAGTTCTCCCACTCATATCATTGTGATGTTTTCAAGATCTTGAGAACTGGGAAGAGAGAAGGTGACAGAGAGAATAGAGACTTGGAGAATGTCAGGAAAGTGACCATGAAGTCTAGTTCCAGCTGCAGCAGGAAGATTGTTGAACAAGACGAGTCTTATCCGGACCAGGCGTTAACAGTCAGCTATTAAAGATTTTCCATTGTCCATCATGAAGAATATGGTTCTTTTATATGGTGTTTTCATTTGCCTTTTATTGTATACGCTTAGCGTTGGCCGCCTCGGCCAGTCCGCTTTTGGCTGGCTTTGAAGTATCTAGCTGTGTTTTTGGTTGCCTTGAAGTGTTGTGCTTTTGGAGTGAGTGAGTCGGCGCCGAAATGCGTGAGCTGGTCTCCAAGGTAGAGGGTGGGTGCATGTCCGCAGGTTTCCACATGGCTTGAAGGGCCAGAACGAGAGCCGCAGAGAGCAGCGAAGGAGCAAATTTTCTAGGGAATTTGACTGGTTTGTAGGGGAAGCTTTGCCGGTTTGTAGGGGGATTTGAGCGGAGTTGGACTGATTTTTGGAGTGGATCTGCCAGGTTTCTAGAGGGGAGTTTGACCGGCTTCTACGGTTTGTATTGGTTTCAAGGGGACTTTAGGGGGCCCCTGGAAGTTGACTGTTTGTTGGGCGTACAGGGGATTTGACTAGAACAAAAGTAGCCGGGTTCTAGGGGGAATGTGACCGGTTAAAATCACAAGAGATGGTGGCTCGGCCGCCCACGAGCTTTGTTTGGTCTGAAGTTCGGTCAGACTAGTTTCGGAGAAATGGGCGAGAACGGGGGAGCTGTAAATTTCAGCCACACAAATCGGGGTGGGGGGGAACCATGGAGGAAGCATGTAGCTGGATGGAGGAAGCATGTAGCGCAAGATGGGGCTGTGGGAGGTGTCTGAGGCCCAAAGATTCTGGAAAGCCAGGGGGCCCCGCAGGCTTTGGAAAACACGCCTTGAACGTTTTTTGGGACTCCACAGGCCAAGGCAATGAGGGTTCCTTCGTCAACGCAACTACCAACGTTGGAACCATGCTTTGCAGAGATGCATAACTCCAAGAACCGCAACAATCATGCCCTGTATTTTAAGCCTGCTTTTGGTTTTGGCTTGCAAGCTTTAGGGCGGGGGTGGCTTTTCCACCAAAAAGGCGGTAATCCAACTAACCCAGGACCAAGCCCCTTCTCAGCTGCCTGATCCTTCATGGTCACAGCAAATCCCAACCTGCGTTACTTGGGTCCGCGACTTACCAAACACCGGTTGGAAGCCACTGGCCAATTTGTAGGGGAGCGTACTTGCTTTGCTCATGGTGCTGTGACGCGTGACTGCGTAGGCCCGCAAGCTGGAGGATGTGCGCGTGCCGGGCGCCAAGAGCCGCAAGACCTCCAAACCACCGGGCTCCAAACCACCCGATTCGAGGGAAGCTGAGTTTACTTCATGTCTTTTTTTGTGGAATCACCAGTCGCAGCCAGTGGCGTCCTTTCAACTTTTTTGGCTTTGTGGCCAGGACCTGGGAAGGGCCTTGCTTAGGGTTACCTGGCTTGCAAGAAGTTCCAAGCTGCCAGGGGTTTCCCTGAACGCTCAGTATTCCCCAAAAGGAAACTGCACAGAGGGCACCAAAAAGGAGAAAGCTCCTCCAGGAACCCTTTTGGAGGTTCTTTCTGTTTGCTTTTGGGAGTGTAGTTGTTACACTTTTTGCAGACCCCTGTTTGACATCCAGGTGCACCACCCTCCCAAAGCAAATGGACCCTTTCGACCTGTTGGTTTCCCATGTTGGATGTTTGGAACGCGTCTTAAAAGCTTAACCCTCCCTGACCCGCGATGGGACCGATTCGATTTTATCATCCTTTGTCCTCGCTTTTGCTGTGGTCAAAGAGTCAAAGGCAGACAAACGACAGGTCCAGGCGTTTAGTTTTGTCCCATTGGTCCATTTCGCATGACCATTTCTTTCCTCGACAGGATCTGCGGTGACTCCTGGGACACTCAGAAAAGCACAGATAGGACGCCCCCTCAATTTTTTTTTGATGTTCCATTGGGTTTAGGTTCAAGCCGATCTGAAAAGGGACTGAGGAACAAAAAGCCCACGTTTCCTTTGATGTCCAGGTCCTGTGCCAAGGCAGGACAGCAACAGAGTTGGTGCTTTCAGGGATCTGTGGTGGTGCATTTTGTGAATCCGATTCCCTTTTGTTTCTTTTTTCTCTGGCCTTTGTACCCCTGTTTTGTGGCGCAACGGGGTCCTTTGGAGGTCCTTGAGTTCTTGAAGAGCCGGACATTCCCCGTAGTTTTGGGGGGAAACCCGGAACTTCCGAAGTTTGAACTGGACTGCTTCCAGTTCAGCCGGCCATGGTGCGCGTCGAAGCAGCGGAGCGGGATCACGAGTCTCGATCCTTGCGGCCAGAAGTGGGTATGGGTCAAAATGAAACCACCAAACCGCAGGTTTTAGTCCGTGTTTCCATTTGCCAGGGTTCGATTTTGGGTACCTATTTTTGACCCACACCCAAGGGTTGTCCACTATTTTCCCTTTCAACCATAAAAGAGGCAAGAGTTGATATTTTGCAGGGGGTCGAAGTCTGGTCCAGCAAGGGTTTGCACATGGTTCCTTCAGGTGGCGCCCTCACTTCCTGGTCACCATGTTCGGCACCAACGATGCCAAGATCTCCAACTGGGACGCACAGAGCTTCGAGCAGGACGATTCTCTCGTCCGCACCCGCAGCAACCGCCACTGGCCCCGTGCCACCCCTGGGACGACTACCTCGCTGAGCTTTTTTTGCCAGTCAGGGATTTGGCTGTGGGTCAAAACCCTGTACCCCTGGTGAACATCAAAATAGGTGGCAAATGGATGTTCATCCCCCCTGGCCATTTGGAGAGAGCACTTGTGCCAGAAGACCGACTTGTTTTCTTGGGGTAGAGGGTCCATGGACCCCGTGGCATGATAAGGATTCCGGGAGCGGAGCCATCAGACCCATGGGAGGTTTGATGGCACATGTGGAGGCCAGATGCGAGCGCCCAAAGCCGATTCAAAAAACGGGTGTTTAGATTCGGCTGCTTTTGGGTTTCATGGGGGTTACAAGGGCTATATAAACCTTGTTATATTTGGAGTACCAGGTATGCGATTTTTCCAGTGAGGAGCGGCTTGTGACCACTCAGCGCTCGGCATGAGCACGTCGCACGTCCTCGGGTTCAATTTGGGGCTCCACTTGGGTGTTCACGGCGTTCAAACTACTTGGTATGGCGTGTCCACCACGGACATTTTTTGGTACCCGAGTGGGTGTGTCTCAAATGAGCGGGCCAACAAATGGCTGGTTTCCCTTTGGCTTCACTTTAACACACCTCCTCAACAGTTGGGGGGTACCCTCAAGAAAGCCAACCCCTGCGTAGCTTCAACATCGAAGCAGATCTAACCCCGGCTCGAGTCCACTCGCACGTGACGCAGTTTTGGCTCAGTCCAGCTGAGAAGAGCTGAGCGTGATGGGCTCCTGGGCTGCACGGGGAGAATGTTCATCAGCCACTCCAAATCGGCGTGGCGATCTATTTTGGGGCAAAATCCCTATTTGGAAAATCCCCGAAATAAATCCGCGCCCACCCTATGCTGAGGGTTTTTGTGAACCCCCCTTTTTTGAGACCCACCAAGACATACCTCGATTGTTTTAAGGGTATCCCAGTCCCTCAGGGGCGCCCTCACACGCAAATCTGCTGGTCTTTGCCACGGGAAGAAAAGGTCCTTCCAATATATGGCCCAAAGCTGGTGTTGCGGATCCCAGGCAAGCCACGTGGGGGTGCGGGTGTTCCCTCAAATGGGGACACGCATATGCACAGCCATGCTCGGCCCCACGATGAAGATCTACCCGGGGATTCCTTGTTTCCGTAGGAGCTCATGCTGGCCTCATTATTTTACCATGATCAAAGTCACCCCGAAGTGGTGGGTTAAGGGAAACAGTCCCATTTTCTGACTTTGATGACCCCCATAAACCGTCAAAATAATGACCCCAGTCATGGAGTTGGCCCCGATGATGTGAACTTTGAAATCATCCAGGCCATACCACGGGGATGTTCCTCCTTTGGAGGAAACTCATTCTTGTTCAAGGAAGGTGGTTCCGTGGCTAGCATCGGGGGCGATCGCCAGAAATGGGTTCCTGATCATCCTAAAGTCTGGGAGTATCCTGGCCTCTGCCAGCAAAGGCATTTTGTGGTCATGTGAGCCACAGCCAGAACTGGCGAGTTAAAGAGAGTTGGCACATGTATAGCTACATGTACATGTGTCTGAGTTGGGTGGGATTCAAGGTTCAAAGGCGTACCCTCAGAAAAATGCCCAAGCAAACGTGTATTTGGGAAAATATGGTTCCACGAGAAATACCTAGTTTGGAGTAGGGGGGGGGGGGTGAATGGCAAAGCCATCTTTTGTGTCGGCCCTTGCGGCTTTGGGCCGTTTGTGCAGTAGCGATGCGGGGAATCTTGCTCCGTGGAAGCACGAGACGCCTCAAGCATGGCCCATAGCAAAGACCAAGAATCCCAGACATTTAGTGGTGCCCTTTTTTGCCATGGAACTCCACTGGGAGGGAGTCTGCGGGTATGATGTCAACCCCTGACAACAACAGGAGGTATTTACCATGGGTCTTTGGGTTTTTCCAAATGTACCCTAATGAGTGGGTGAGCGCATGAGGTGAGACCCGGCCGCCGAGCGAGGCGAATCTGACCCGTGGATTGGCTTCGGATTCGGGCTTCGGATTCGGTCCTTAGCGAACCTTGGGTGTGTGTGTGTGTGGGATTAATAAATCATGTGGGGGTGTCTCACAACTGGGGGACTTATGCACAAATTCGTTTTTTCTCCCCAATTGCTGAAAGGTTTGGGGTCTTTGCCCAGATAGGCGCCCAGGTAGTCAGGGGTGGTCTGGGCGGCTCTGAGGTAGGGTTCCAAAGAGGGTTCTGGGGGCTAGAAGGTTCCACGGGGGGTTGGTTCACGGGCCGGAGGGTTTGGGGAGTTGCGAGAAGGGTTTCGGGGCTGCACGGGGTGGCACTCAGCAATAGTGCAGTTCTGTCAGTTGTGTCTAGGTGTAGGCAGCCAATGCTAGCAACGAAACAGATTTACCCAAACCTCCAAGGGCGAGTTTTTCCTGTGCTCCTCCTTTTTTTGGAGGTTGAATCAAGTACAGGCCGAGGTGGGTACCCATTGTTCTTTACTGTTGTTTTGGGGAATCAATGCCGCCAATAGGGACGGCAAACAGAGGGAAGAGGCCATACTTTTGACAACCCCCCCGCCATATGCTCCGGGCACTGCTGCCAGGAGGATGTTGAGGCCTTGCGCCTCCGTCTTGCCGAAGAGCGGGAGAAGCTGACGCTGATGTGCGCGCCCGTAAGTACGGCGCGGGGCTCGGATGAAAGAAACATGGACCACACCCAAAGACCCAAGGGTCAGGGCTGAAGGCCCAAAAAGGACCTCGGGGCCAAACTTGCGGCAGGCCTTAACTGTGTCGGATTACTTAGCTCCGCAGATTGCGATCGCGGTTTAAGATTTGGCACCCGGGGACAGCTTTGGACCCAAAGGGTTTGTTTTCTCTTCCTTCGACCCACTTACAAAAAACGTAGATCACTGAACCCCAGGCGCAAGCTGCATAAACAACTTGCACTTCCAAACACACGAACCAAAACACACACACAGGGAGGAGGGAGGGGTGTGTGTGTGTGTGCCTGTGCTTATTTTTGGAGGGTGCCTTTTCAGCTTGGTTCAAGTTTAAACTCAATGCCTGGACCCCCAACGGGTTAATGGGAAAGGATCCACCTCTCCAAGCTTGGGGGGTCTGATGGCTTGAGAATGGCCTGACTGTTCTCTCGACGGTTCTGGAGGAGGGGACACGGGGTTCCCACCTCAGAACCTCCACCAATCCAAACCAATCCTTCCAGGTTTTTACAGCTGTATCTGGAAGCACTGGGATCATGGAAGTGGCAACCACACGCTGTTTCTCCTCGGGGTGTATGGATGGGAAACATGAGGGAAGCTCCAAACCGCGCGCGAGGTGTCGCTCTTTGCCATCAGCGCGCTCGAGTACTTGGCCTACGCGCTGCGGGCGGTGCTCACTAGCCTTCTCACCTGGCTAGTGGCTGTGCCGCTGCGCCTCGTCGTTTTTGTTGTCGGAGACCTTGGATGTTGAACCAACGTCAGGACCATGTTGACCCTAAATTTATTAACTCCAGTTTAATATAGGGTCAACAGTAAGTAGCTCGTAGCCATGTTTAGGAGACTGAACCAAATCACCACAGTCACCCCAGTCGCCCCAGTTACCGGGACCCACAACGGGGGCCGCCATTGGAGCCAGTGTTTTGGCCCATTTTCTGGTCCTTGCTGGCCTCTCGAAACAAAATTGTTACTCGTAGTTTGTCTGTTTTTTGCGCTGCAATGGCATTTAATCAGTATATGATCCCTAGTTGCTTCGTCCAGGAGAAAGAGGTTAGGAGATGGGGGATGGATGATCTCGCTGAGGCCTTATTTCAAGAAAACCCGGGGGGGGAGGGGTGCACCATTGATGCCTGAGACCTTATGAGAGCAAGCGAAACCACCGATCCCAAGTGGTGCCGCGATTTCGTCCGTTTCTGCGTCACTCTCGAGGACAGCAGCCTACTTCTACCTCAAGTTCTCCCACGCGCCGGAGCTCTTTGAGGCGATTTTGTTCGACCCACGAGAAAAGTCGTTGGTTTTTGTTGAGCCGGCCCAGAAGCCAAGAGAGAACACGGATCTCACGAAAAGGTCTTGGAGTTCGAAACACGGGCGGCACCTCCCTCCAATCTTCTGTGAGCAAAGGGCCGACCTTTGCCACTACTCGAAATTGTCTGAAAGTTACGCCAAATGGCGATTCAACTATTTCATATGTTAGGTTGACTAGTTATGAACCAAAGTCAGAAGCTTTCCTGGGTGACCCCAGAGTTGGGCCAAGTGAACCCTACAAAGGTTTGCCGGGTTGGCTGGACTGTTCAAATAGCGATGACACTCTTCCAACCGTGCAAGCAACCTCCTTTTGGTTCCCCTCAAGTGGCAAGTGGTTCAACGAAATTTCGCAAGCCTCAAGCCCCTGCTCTCTCAGCCTCTTTCCGTGACTCACCCGACTCACGACTGCTGCGTTAGGCCAACCCTTGTTGAAACATGTTTACACCGCCAAACTGTTCAAATAACCTCCCTTTGGTTCTCCCTTAAAGGCGGCCAGGGCATAATCCCCCACCAAAACGACTCCCCGACCTAACTCGCAGGCGCCGGTGTGCGGCATCAAGCCCGCCGCGCCCTTGTGGCACCTCGAGCTCGCGCTCAAGGAGGCATCGGACACGGAGCGAGGTAGCGACCGCCGAAGAGCCGCCGGACACCCGAAGCATTTTTTTGGCCAAATGAGATCACCACCGAAACCCGGCTTCAAAGGGTTTCTACTTGTGTGTCTTTGAAGGGGTGCCGAAATAGTGGAAACCATTTTGTGGGGTTCTCAAAATGTGTATGTGTGCTGTGGCTGTGTGTGTTTCGTTTCGTTTCGCTTCGTTTGGTTTGTTTGTTTGTTTGTTTGTTTGTTTGTTTGTTTGTTTGTTTGGTTGGTTGGTTGGTTGGTTGTTTGGTTGGTTGGTTGGTTGTTTGGTTGTTTGGTTGTTTGGTTGTTTGTTTGTTTGTTTGTTGTTTGTTTGTTTGTTTGTTTGTTTGTTTGTTTGTTTGTTTGTT